AGTCTCAGGCTGACATCAAAACCTACTGACTGATAACACTATCTGCTTCTAAAGCAGCATGTTATCAAAACCAGCCAGACGGTGTTCAGTGTTTAAGGTGTAATCGTAGGCGCAATTCTCCCTCCAACCCAATCTGCATACTCTCTGCGTGAGGAGAGTTTGATGGCAAATTTCCAGATTAGTCAGTGTGATCGGCAGAAGGATAGCCCACTATCGCCATCTAATGGTCCAATTTGGTACTGAAGATGAAAGATTTTGTTGACTGATAAGAAAAGCATGTTTTCAGTGGAGAAATTTCCTACAGTTTTTTAGCAGCCTTTAGTGAGAAGTGCACCCAAAGCTTCAATCATAAACTGTGATGTGCAGAATGACTGTTGTACTGATCTCTTCTGAAGAGCTTTTACTCCAACACCAGCCTTAAAACGCCGGCACTCTCCTGAGGAGAGCTGATGATCTCTTTTCATTAAGGAGCATCTGGCTGAGTAAATTTATGGTCTGATAATAGAAAAGTAAGTTTACTTGAATGCTGTAAACCTTTAAGATTTAAGACTAATTTATTTTAAAAAATACAAAACAATGAAATATGTTTACATTTATATTAAAGCTTTATAATAATATTAATTAGGTATATTCTTAACAGTCTGTGCTGTTCTGTGGAAAAGTCTTGAGCTAGTCCTCATTCCTTTATATTTTCCTGGGAAATGATAACCAATTTGTATTTAATCATAAACTTAAACCTTGCTGGGATTTTTACATTTTTATTAACAAAAAAAGGACGGTGACTGCACCAAGAGACAAAAAAATAAAAGACTGAGACTAGAGAGGAAAAAAATGGGCGAAATCTTTCTATTATAACATCAACAACAAAAAGAAAAGATGTAATAAAGCTTCATGAGCCAAACAACCTCATTTAGCTGCTGAATTATCCATAAATGGTCCACAGTGAGTTTGGTGCCTCCTGAGGTGTAACATGCTGTCAGCAGTAATGATGCTAAAATACTGAAATTAATGGGGGAAAAAAACACAATTCATGGGCTATTTGAATACAAATATAACGATAAATGCTTGAAGATGCATTTACAAGCTTAACTTTTAATACCTCACAGCAGCTGAAGAATCAGTGGCTGCTAAAGCGAGGACAGAGAGACCAAGTCCTCTGCTTTTTCTGGGAATTTTTGTGGGAATTTTGGACCTTTTTTATTAGTCAGAGTTACACATAATTAGATTTTTTATAGCCATGGCCTGAACTTTTAACCTCAGTACTTTTTTAACATCCTGCTTATGGCCTTGCTCACTGCAAATTCGGAAGTCTTCATGGCCTAGTATCCAGTAATTTCCAGTATAATTCCCTGTCTGCATATCTGTGGAAGCCATAGTGGACTCACAGCTGTACATGCAGGATGTGAAATGAATTTAAATGTTTCTAACAAAAACAGTGCTGCGCTGGGTCAGTGGCAAAGAGCCATGTTTGCGTTTTGATGTCATTTCTTAGTTGATGAAACATCCTGTCATTTAATCTGTCAGAATATTTTACATTTTAATGGTTAAGTAGCTATACAGCTATACACGTGTGTCTCCTCCCACCTTTGTTTTTGTAATTTCTGTCTTATTATCCTGATTTCTTACATTTTTTTCTAATATCCCACCCATGCATCCTCAGGCGGTTTCATCAGTTTCAATGGCTCGTGGCGCGTCCAGGGCATCCTGGCCATGTCCCGCTCTCTGGGCGATTACCCTCTGAAAAACCTCAACGTGGTCATTCCCGATCCCGACGTCATGTCCTTCGACCTGAACAAGCTGCAGCCCGAGTTCATGATCCTGGCGTCGGATGGCCTGTGGGACACCTTCAGCAACGAGGAGGCGGTTCGCTTCATCAGGGAACGACTCGACGAGCCGCACTTTGGCGCCAAGAGCATCGTCCTTCAGTCCTTCTACCGCGGTTGCCCTGACAACATCACCGTCATGGTGGTCAAGTTCAAACGCAAGGCCAGCGAAAAGTAGACCGCACGTCTTCTGCGCACAGTATCTATTTTGTGTCTGAATATAAATAAGAATATACTTAAGATGAAATAAGCGCTTTTTGAGCGAGAACTATTTCTATCACACATATTTACAGCAGTTCGTCCCTCAGTGCATCCGACCCCCACCCCGTCATGCCCCCCTCGCCCGCTTTACTTTGCGATAAAAGTGACCCAATAAAAATGTCCTTCATTTAGTCTTAGACATATCTCTGAGGCACCGTAAAGCGAGCTGGATCACTGTTATGCAAATAATCTGATTAAGCTTTGTGCAGCTGTG